TGCGATTAAAGATTTGTGGCCGAGTGCCGATCTCCGGTTATTGTAAAGTTTTGATTCTAAAGTGTAAGCAAACAAAAATAACTCGATGTTGTTATTTGGAGTGACTAACATAAATAGCCATGGTTTATTGTTTGAAACCATGACAATTTCAAATAATACTTTTGTAATTTTATTTTAATATTTTAAGTTTGCATTTTGTGTTACAGAGATTGTTGTGAACTTAATTGTTGATAGGGGCACACCCGTATGAAAAGTTGGGCCATTATTAAATATTAATGTTACTGTTATATTTACTGATATTACATATATTAAGTATAATTCGCTTACCTTTTAACACAGGCAAAAATTATGACCACCGACTTTGCCTCTGTGCTTTAGTTAGACCAATCCATCTTGCATCACATTACCTGCCACATGACCAAACAAATGTGACAACAAGATATAAACATCACTTATTGGTACTGTATCTATCCCTGATATCAGCCATTACTGATTGGATATATTGTGCATTCCTAATAGCTGATTTTCATCTATGTATTTTAGATAATAATCCGCATTTGAATAATACCTTTTTATTTAAAGTCAGTTCAATGTCATTTGAGTTTAATAGATGAGTGATTGTTTTATTTGATTTCAATGTTCATCAAAACAATTGTAATTTTATTTTTTTATATGACTATATAATAAAGTTAGAGCTGCCCAAATTTTGGACTTTTTATATAAGTAGTTAGTGCTGTTAGCATGATTAGCTGTAAATAGCAGTCTCTTATTCCGAACACCAAGTCTTCTTTGTCCAGTAACAAGATCTATATAGAAACTGGTACTCTTAGGACTTAGGTATGGTGTGTTCACGAACTGGACAAAGATAGGATTCTTTAGATTTCAACAAGATAGTCATCAGTTGGAGCAAGTGATGCTAAAAATCATCCACTTTCAGCTCTTTTGTCTCTAGATATACTGCTTACAAATTTAGTATTTTTGTTTTGTTTTAACTCAGTACAAAAAAACGATTAAAAGTGGTGAAACTTTTAACACCAGTCACAAGTGATGCTAACTGGAACTGGATAGGACATTGTAAGAGAGATTTGACCTGGATGAAAAATACCTTGTTTTAGGTGTAAAAAGACCGAAAAAAAAAAAAAAGCTTAACACTTTTAATATAATTTGTGAGATGGCAACTTTTTTCTTTTCACAACTACCCTGGTGGAAGGCTGGGCAACTTGCAGAAACAAACTTTGGAAGTTAAGTAACATTTTACAAGATCAGTAAAGTGTTTAGTCAAAAAAAAAAAAGAAAGAAAAAAATTTGACTAGCTCATGTTCTGCAGCTTAAAAAATAAAAAGCTTTCAACTTCCCTCTGCAAACTGTGTTAATAAACCACAAGAACTGACCCAGGATTTAATTTCCAACAACTAAAGACGTCACCCCATTCAAAGAGACTGAGAGTCGGTGTGTTAATCCATGAATCACATCACTGGTCCCAGCTTGATAATCTCATTTTAAATCCATTTTCACATCAACAGATAAAGGAGGGAAGTCATACTCAGTTTACAGTTTATATAATAAGTGTCTTCCGTTTAGTCTTGTTTCTTTGATGCATGAACTTTCAGACTTAGTCTGATGTTGAGAAAGTGTTACTATGCTGTCAATGAAAGACATCTTTATCCTTTTTAATTCGTTAATGTTTTGTTCTTTTATCTGCTTTAGGTGCCGTGTCAAATTTCACAGTTTTAAGGTTTCCAAACACTGTGAGGATACCATGACACCGCAAAAGGTGCTCAAGTTTGTGTCTGAGTCATAGTTTCTGATTGCTGGTAAACCAGAGGTCTATTTTGTAGTTTTTATTGAGTTTTTGATCATCTTTAATTCTAAATCGAATCTAACATCTTAGGTGGTTCAAACCTTATCTGAATGACCTGAAAGAGATCGCCTCAGAATTTAATAAGGATATAAAACACAGTATTGCAAATATGTTTTCAGTGGAGGGGTGATGTTTGTTTTTTTTTTTTTTTCCAAACAGGAACATTAAATGGAAAAGCTTCAGATGATTGCTTAGCTTATATCACCAATAAATCATGAATTTCTTTCCATTTGCCATGATTGCATAAAGTCTGTATTTATAGCTGTATCTGTTTGCTCCCCTCCCCTGGGATTTGCTAGCTTAAAACACTTAATGAAATTGCAATGAAGTAAATTTATATAAAGCAACTTTATTTAAAAGTATATTTTAAGTCTTTTAAACTTGAATGTGTTAAACCCCAGAGCGGCGTTGCTCCGTGATACGTAACCGTTTTCCTGTGTTTAAGCATCCTGTGTTAACAAGAGGAGTCCATTAAAGCTCAGTCGGAGAAATTTGATCTGCTGGTTAATGAGGGATCTCTGTTCTGTGTGCTGTGGTCTTCTACAGCGGAGGAAGTCTAAAACACGATGGTTTAATCAGACCAATTAATGGCGGGTGTCTTTTATTATCTTCCTGCAACAGAAAGGAGCTGAGGTAGGCTTGGGATCTCTGTCTTCTGAAGCATGCAGATAAAATAAAGACCACCCCAGAACTAGAAATACTCTCATTGCTTTTTATAGCAACAGCTCTGAATTTTTAAATAGCAGGCCTCCTGCTGCTGTCTCTTTACAATTCCAGTGTTCAAACAGAAACCAACTAGCCAAAGAGAATCAAGTCACAGCACAGTAAGGAAGCAGTGAGGTGGAATGCCTCACTGTTATCACAGACATCGAGTCACTGCTGATGATTGATACTGATGCAAAATCAGCCCACTTTGGTGATAAAGACAAAGCTTCCATGTCCTGCAACCAAGCAGGAAGCCAATTTGTCAGATGGAGCCCAGAGGTAGATAGAGGGGAAGCTGGGTTGAGGGTTGATCCAAATCAGTGGGAATTAATGGCCAGATAACTAAAACCCACAATGTAGTCGCTGTGTCATTCTCAATCCCTGCTCTGCTGTCTCTCTCTGTCACGATGTGACAGAGAGACGCTGGGAACAAAGGCAGAGAGCTGTGAGGACTGAAATGGGAGTGACAGAAATGACAATTTGTGTATTAAGTATAGAAATGTTAAAATTGAGGCTCATACCCTTTCTGGATATTTTCAAATTGTGGTATTTTGGGGGGATTTTATGTGTTTGTCATCTTTTACTGCGGTTATTGCTTCATTCTCTTATGTCTTTACCAGCTTTGCCCATCTAGTGTTTTTCAGCCTCTGAAATAGAATGCAAATTTGTGTTAATACCACAATACATGTTGTTGAGGGCCGGACCACTACCTGAACACAATTTTTCAAGTATGTATTTCTCAGTAAACTCTAAATATTATTATTTTTCTTCTTCTGACAACATCACATACTGCAACATAGCAGTACAGAGTGACTCATAATAGTGACATATTTTCATTTTCCTGTCCTTTACCCTGGTTTTTGTTTAGTTTTTTTCTACACAAATCTAACAAACTTCTATAACTTTTGTAATTGTACACTTACCACTCCAACGTGATGCTCTCACCATTCATTGTTTCATTGTGTTGGTGCTGTTTTCAAGGTGCAATGGTTTTCCGTCACACAAAGCTGTTTGCTTTTAAACTTCTGTTAAAAAAAGCTTGGCATGGCTTACTTTCATCCATGCTTTTCTTTCTCTTCCATAAAGGCCATATTTGTGCAATATGGCCTTTATGTCAACACACTCTCTCTTTCTCAAGCGTTAAATCTTTTCAGCTCCTCCAGAGTTACGTCTTGGCTGCTGCTCTGATTGATGCTCTTCTTGCCCTGTCAGTTCAGGTGGATTGCCATGTAGGTCTGCAGTAACGCCACACTAGGATAATAGATTGAACAATACTTATTGCTGTATGATCTAACCCTGCTTTTAACTTGTCAATGCTCTCTCTATGATCTGTCTGCGGTGTTTCTTGGTCTTCGTCATCCTGTTTCTTCACTGGTGTTTTTAGAGAAGAGATGGGTATAAACTGTGATTGCAAAAAGAAAATTAATTGTAATGTTTCATTCACTTTATAATTCTGGGCTACTTTGTGTCAATCTATCACATAAAATATAAATTAAACAACCAATTAAATTTTTTGTTCAGTAGATTTTAAAACACGTAGTGTTCAAGGGATTTCAATATTGTTTTTTCATAATTTAGACACTGTAGAGGCTCATAGTTTACATTCTCAGTGTTTTCCTTCTTGGTGCCTTTTTTCATAGTTTGTGTTGTCATAATCTGTTCTTTTCACTTTTGCGCTACGCTCCTCTTATTGCTCCTGCTGCTCGCTCTGCTCCACTGTCAGTTTTCATTTTGCAGTGTCTACCGGGGTCATGTTGCCTTCACTAATGCTTTGGTGGGGTCTTAACTCAGCTCACAGCATAGACTACATCACTATTTTTACCTCATGGCACGTTCCTGTTCATAAACAGTGGATAAGTTTAGATCCATGGCTGTGGGCTTTTCACCAAGTAATTTATGCCTATATTTCACTTTGGTCTGTTCACAAGGATGTGCTGGTTGCCCTTAAAGCCACATTTAAAACACATCAAGGTGGAAAACTTAATTTGGAGTAACATTACTTCACTAAAATAGTGCAAAATTGCTTAAGTTGTATAGAGCACATTGTTTATTTTTTGATCAGTGTTTCTGTAAGCCTTTCTTCATTAACCTTTGTCTGTCATTTTTTGACGCCCCAGGCTGTTAGTCTTTATTCTTGGGGCGATATCTTGCCACAATAGTGCTGTATTGCTTAATGAAGGGTTAGAGTTAGTGTTTGCTGATATAATTCCCTGGAATAAACTCTCCAAGGAGCTGTTTTGTTGTAATACAGTTTGTTCCACATGGGATCCAATGTGTTTTCCTTCGCTTTGCATTGAGTGCTGTACATTTAAGCAGTGCTGTAATGGGTAGCATAATTGAGCAAAGCACAGACTTTAGGAATAGTTTAGTTTCATAATTTCTTTGTCTCTGTGCTGCTATTTTTTATCCCGACATTCTCCTGTTTCATTGTCAGTGTGCAGGAGAGGAGAACTGGGTGGACAGCCGGACGGTGTATATCGGCCATAAAGAACCGCCTCCGGGAGCTGAGGCCTACATCCCTCAGCGTTATCCCGACAACCGCATCGTCTCCTCTAAGGTGAGCGATCCCCAGCCTCCGCCACAGCGTAGTTTATCTTCATGCTCCTTTTCCGTTTCAAATCCAGCCAACCGTGTAATATCTTCTGTCACATTTTTTGAAAAAGGAAACTATTCTCTCGACTTCCTTCTGTCAAGCTGTACATGTTTTCTCTGGCGGAGAGAAAATTTGTGATGTGCCACTGATTCTCGGACTGCATCAGAAGTTTTTTGGGTTTTTTCCCCCTCTCTTTATTCCACAGTACACCTTCTGGAACTTCATTCCCAAGAACCTGTTTGAGCAATTCAGAAGAATCGCTAACTTCTACTTCTTGGTCATATTTTTGGTCCAGGTAAAATTTTTCTTTGAGTTAAATTAAGTGTGTTAAAAAAAAAAGAAAAAAACCAAAACAACTTCTTTGTTTTGTAAAGAATTCATCTCACAGCATCTAAAGTTACTTGAAATGACCTGTTTCGGATACATCATTGCCTTTACTTTGGATAACATTGGCTTGTGTTCGAAAAGATAACCAAAAACTTTGCTAAAGATGCTTTTTTCCAAAACAAAAAACTACAAATGTTCCTTACATTGTGACAAATGAACTCTGTGATTGAATCTGTGTTAGTTTCACATAGATAGACAAATACTTGAGCCATAAAAACAAGCTATGGCCCGCTATGGCCTTTCCTTTCTGTTAGCTTCATTAGGCTTCTTCAGTAAGTTGGGTGTCGGAACTGTTTCCGCTTTCTTTACTATTCATTATTGACATGTCTGGATGGTTTTTGAGCTGTTTAAAGGAACCTTTTAGGCAACCTTTGTTGAATTGTAGGTTTGTTAGAGCACAACCAGGTGTTTACTATGACCAAAAAGAGCCTTACATCTTCTAATAGTACTTTAGTGCAAAGTTATGAAGTCTGTGTAACAAAACAAATAATTTTTTGCGCAATTAAAGTAAAAACATTTAGGTTCATTATGTACGTTTAAGACATTATCCTGGCAATTCCCAACCAGCAGTTGCCTCAAGACGTGACTATTTATTTCCACCAGTATCATGTGAAATCCTACAGTCTCTCTCATGTGAGAAACTGGGTGTGGCACATGAGCTCAATTCTCTACTCTCTATTGTTTAATAATGGAGGGAAGTAAAATAATTTTTCACCTGTAAGTGGATTCAGTTCAATGGTATAGATACAAAGTTTGGTGCTCTTTTAGTATGAGCTTCATCTTCCAACCTCAGCTTTGGTTCACTCCATATTTTCCTTCCTCCTCTTTGTGTTGTCCCTTCTTCAACCTCCCCCTCTCTTCTCCCTCCCATTTGTCCTTTCTCCTCGCAGCTTATCATCGACACCCCCACCAGCCCAGTCACCAGCGGCCTGCCCCTCTTCTTTGTTATCACCGTCACCGCCATAAAACAGGTAGGACGGACACAAATGAGCTCCGGTCTCTGGGAAATATCGCCCCAATAACTACTGGCCTCAAACAAAAACACACACTCTCCCGACCAATCTTGCAGCTGCTCCATTTTCCGTATACACACATTCCTCTCCTGGTGAGAGGACATACTATTGAATAAGTCTGGTGATGTGAAAAATATGATAATGAGTGTTCTCTTCTGTTAATCACTTGAGTGGAGGATCCCGTGGCTCTGGGAGATACATCTCCAAATAGTGAGAGATGGGGTACTATTAGTGATAGATGAAGTCGTCCAAGCTTTACGGGACATTAATCTAAAACATGGCATTTTCACTTAAAATATAGGAAACAGGTCAGTAAGCAAACACAGCCCAATACTAACTTATTAAAGCGTCTGAAATCCTCCAGTTGTTGGGATCGTACTCTCCCGCGCTCTGCACAAGCATCGTATTTTTCTTATGCCTTTACAAATTTGCTTCCTATTTCTTTCTTGCTGCCTCTCTGTCAGGGCTATGAAGATTGGCTCAGACACAAAGCTGACTGCTCCATAAACGAGTGTCCGGTGGACGTGGTGCAGCAGGAGAAGGTGGTGAGGACGCAGAGCCACAAACTACGGGTAAGAATGGCCTCATTAGGCCGGCACTGCACCTGAGGCCACAAAGCAACACTGCTGCACTGCTGCAATGCTCTCTCTTTTTTTCTAAAACTGTCGCTCCCTCTCCCGCTTTGCTTTCTTCTCTGCAGTGTTTTCTGGCTGTCTTTCTTGTCTTTCTGACCAATTATTGGCTGTAAAATCATTACAGACCATTCCCTCGTGTGAGGTTCTCTCCAAGGATGAACAATAGTTATGTATTTTATAAATCAGAATATTCTTGTCCTCATATTCTTGTCGCTGATGAGGAGTGGGTCAGTTGTTGGTGAGGTGACATTGTGTTCTTCTTGATTGAATCATTATCGCAGTGCCTTGAAAAACCATTCAGACCTCTATTTGCCTACATTTTGTTGTTTTGTCTCATTGGGTTTTATTGGGATTTTGTGAGCACTTTTACCAGTAGGTAAAGACATGTGAAGTGAAAGAAAACTAGGCCACGGTTTTCAAACTCTTTTTCAAATAAAATCTGAAAAGTGTGGCAAGGATTTTTATTTAGGTGCTGTAGGTGAGAGCTCTGATTTTTCCTCTCAAACTTCTAATATTGATGGACTTTGTTGGGGTTTATTTTTTTAGAACTTAATATTCAGAAATTTCAACTTGAGTGAAATACAAAGCATAGTGAAATTTAATCTTTCAATCAATCAAGGCGCTTTTTTCTGTTTTTTTCTTTTTTACTAGCATTTTAAAATCTTTCAGTATGGTGACTTAGAAAAATATTTCCAGAAGTGGTTTTCAATATTTTAGGACCTCTTATTTGGTGACCCTGAAGTTAAGCAAGTCCATTCTTTCGCCCACCTTCTAATAAACAACCAAGTCGAAAATGGTGGTAGCAATAATATAGTAAAATTCTGCTTCCCAGTAACAGAAACAGTGCTGACTTCCTACTTTTTTTTTTTTGAAAAGCCATTAAAAACTGACACTTGTAGCTGCTTGTTACCCATGGAGACATCCTTTCCCCACCATCCAAGGATCTAATGAAAACAGTGTCAGACTGTTTAATGTGTCTGATCTAGCTCATCAGATCTATTGATTCGGTCGGCTATATTTCAGACTTGTAGCACCATTTTGTCAGCAGGTAGGTAATGAGCGTCGGTACATCTAGTTTCTGCTGCGTCTGCTGCTTGCTGTGAATGTGCAGAGACTGTGTGGGACGTTGAGGGTCAGCTGAGAATATACAGCTTCACCATAGCTGCCAGGCAATAAAAGGTTGCACAGCACTATAGTTGCTCCTGTCATTGCAGTAGTTTTGTTAGGTTTTTTTTTTTTTTTTGTGAAGGTGATGCAACTTTCAAAAAAAGAAAAGAAAAAGATTTCTTCCATCAGTGTTTATTTCATCTGTCCTTTATTCGTTTTCTTCTGGCTGTCTGTCTGTCCTCCAGCATTTCTGTTCTCTTCCGTAGATCAAACAGCAAGGATTAGAGCATGCGTTGGGAGTAGGAATAATGATGACTACATTAATCATAATAAATCAGAGAGCGTGTGTTATGTGCACGGTCACCGTGGAGACAGGATTTATTTGAGTCTAAGCTGCTCTGCTCACGTAATCCGTTATGCAACTTCTCAATCCTTTGCAAAAAAACAAAAACAAATAGTAAAAGATGAGCAGATGGTTACCTCCAGGTCTTTTTTGTTTTCTTTTTACATATTTCCTCTAATCTTACTACATCTGCTTTGTTATTTAGCTGTCGCGCCTCTCCTTTTCAGGTGGGCGACATCGTCATGGTGAGAGAGGACGAGACTTTCCCCTGCGACCTCATCTTTCTCTCCTCCAGCCGGGACGACGGCACCTGCTACGTCACCACCACCAGCCTCGACGGGGAGTCGAGTCACAAGGTGCTCGCTAGAGACAAGTGATGATTTTCATTTTAAACTCGGATTTAATTGAAGTTGCTATCTAAAATCATTGAAATTGTGAGTAATTTTGCATCCTTGAAAGACTGAGAAGGTAATCATCTACATCTTTGAAGAAGCAAAATAGCAACAATTTTAAGCCAACAGCACATATGTGCTCGGACAGAACAATGGTTGTTATGCAATAGCATAAATTGTATTCCTCTTACTATTAAAAACAAACATAACTAATATCACAGATCTTTAGCAGTGTGCAAAACAATATTCAGTGTTAGGGCAGTGTAAATCTCCTGTACTTTGTTATTGTTTACAGTTTAGCCACACTTATTGGCAACCCTGATACTGACTCATGTCTTACCGTCTTCCTGCTCGAAAACATTTACCAGCTTATTGTTGAGGCCGCTTAGAGAAACCGCCCAAGTTATACACCAAATCAATCCCAACCTCATAGTCGGTGTCTTGGTGACATTTTTCCCTGTCTTCTTTTTCTGCTCCCCCACCTTCTGCCACCTTTTTGTCTCAGACCTATTACGCTGTACCAGATACCATGGCCTTTAAAACGGAGCAGGAGGTGGATTCATTACATGCCACTATTGAATGTGAACAACCGCAGCCTGACCTCTACAAGTGAGTGTATCCCTGTAGATGGATCGTTGTACACGGACCTTTTACAAGATGTAACCTTATGGCCATGGACATCTTGATTTAATTTTGTTTTCCCGCTTTGTTCCAGATTTGTGGGACGCATTAACATTTACAAGGACAAAGAGGAGCCTGTGTCCAGGTGGGCAGTTGTTTGTGCTGTAGTTTATTATCTAAAATTGTATCTATATTGTGGTTTTTTTTTTTGTTTATTTTAGTCTAATGTTGCTTAAATATTTTAATTTGTCAGTAGCACTACATAATGCTGCCTTTATTATTGACTGCTATGCTAATAATTAGTTGGGTCTTCTGAATTTTATAAAAAGAATGAATTTACTTTACATTTGCAGAACACTAGGAGCTGAGAATTTACTTCTTAGAGGAGCCACGCTGAAGAACACACAACATATTTATGGTATTACAATAATTTTGAGCATGCAGCTAAGAATTTGTAAACACTTTGACAAAACAAGGGGAAAAAAAACTCTTGATTTCTGCTCCTCAGCTGTTGCAGTCTACACTGGCATGGAGACCAAGATGGCGCTTAATTACCAGTCTAAATCTCAGAAGCGCTCTGCTGTTGAGAAGTAAGATTAATGACGGAGGCCTTCCCACTGCTTGATTTAGAGTGTGTCTTTGGGGAGTGGTTTACTTCGCAGCTCAGCTGACCCCTCTTCACTCCATCACTCTCTGCAGGTCGATGAACGCCTTCCTCATCGTGTACTTGTGCATCTTGATCAGTAAAGCTGTGATCAACACTGTCCTGAAGTACGCCTGGCAATGGTCGCCTGACCGGGACGAACCCTGGTACAACCACAGGACTGAGAACGAGCGCCAGCGCCATGTGGTCTGTCCCTAACTCTCTGCATGAATGCAACATTTAAGCAGCTATGTGTTGTAATTTCCCTAAAGCCACATTCCTATCACGTGTGTCCTCTACTTCTCAGGTCATCCGAGCCTTTACAGACTTCCTGGCCTTCATGGTTCTGTTTAACTACATCATCCCGGTGTCCATGTATGTCACTGTAGAGATGCAGAAGTTTCTCGGGTCATATTTCATTACTTGGGATGAGGAAATGTTTGATGAAGAGCTGGGGCTGGGAGCCCAGGTGAACACCTCCGACCTGAACGAAGAGCTGGGACAGGCATGTGGCTGGACACACTGAAGCAAACTGTATGGCTTAGCTAACTGAATGCAATTGTTATTTAAATATGATGTTGCTCTCACTTCCTTCAAGGTGGAGTATGTGTTTACTGATAAGACCGGCACTCTGACTGAGAACAACATGGAGTTTATTGAATGCTGCGTGGATGGCAATGTCTACATCCCACATGCCATCTGCAATGGTCAGATCCTCAGTGCAGCCTCGAGTATAGACATGATCGACTCCTCACCTGGAGGGTACAGGAGAGTAAGTTTGTTTTATATGTTAAACATACAAACTTCTGTGTAGCTAGGAGAGATTTTGTGTGAGAGGCCAACAGAAAGTAAAACAAAATGGCAGGAAAAGGATACATGTTTTGTCAAATTTTGTTTAATGTATTTTGTGTGTGTAGGAGTACGAGGATCTATTTTTCCGGGCGCTGTGTCTCTGCCACACGGTGCAGGTGAAGGAGGAGGAGACGGTGGACGGCATCAAAAGAGGCATCCATCAGGGCAGGCCCACTTCCTTTTACATTTCCTCATCTCCAGACGAAGTAGCTTTGGTGGAAGGAATGAAAAGGTAACATCATGATGACAAGTTTTAGAACTTCAGCAAAAGTTCAGGGAATATGTGAGCTATCACATAAACATTACAAAGTCACATTTTTCTCGAGAAAGAATTGAGTTTGGGCGATTAGCTTTTTCTGAATAATAAATAGAAAGGTCCTGGGTGCATTGGGCAAAACTAGGAATAAATTCTTCCTTTAAAAGCATATTTTTGAAATTCTGGAACTTTTCACTCTTTAGATGTTTGACACATTTTATTCATGTCTCCCATTTTTGAACAAGCTGTGTTCCACATCAACCTCGCATACACACTACAAGAAGAAACAGATGTTTTTTACTGGCATTAACTCTGTTCTTATCTGTAAATCACTGTAACTAGTTGGGAAGGTTAAGGACATTGTCCATTTTGAAAATCCATTTGTGCTCAAGTTTGAACTTTCTGGTTGATGTTTTGAGATGTTATTTAATATTTTCTCATGTATCCTTTTCTCATGACGCCATCTATTGTTTGCACCTGTCCCTCTTGCAGGAAAGCATCCATGAATTTAAGGCAAATATCATACTTTACATTTTCCATTGTAGGAAAATTATGTCAGTAAGAATTTTAACCCTGATCAAAAATAAAAAGCCTCCCTCTGCATTAACCATGAGTGCTTGACTTGCCAAAGTTGCATCATTCTTGAAGTACATTTTGGGGTCACACACAATTAATCCAGGAGTCACAAATGGCCCTCAGGCCTCACTTTGGACACCCCGATGTAGATTTTTCCAAATTGTTTAAAAAAATAGTCTCTGTGTATATGTGTTCAAGAACGTAACAGAAAATGCTCCCTGTCATTAGTGTGGCATTTGCTAAATGTAAATACAGTTGGTTGTCCTAATTAACCTAAAACAGGAAAAGCTTCGTCTGATTTAATGTCAGAGTGACAAAGAATGTGATATATGCCTTATTTATAGTGTATGCAAGTGGTTTCCACTGTAACCTTCACCTTATACAAGTACTGTACAAACATCTCAGCTCAAGTTACACAACATGCGTCACATCATCTTCAGTTTTGCCACCTCCAAAAGACGCGACTGTTCATTTACATGACCTCTTTCTGTCACCCTCTAATTAATCATTTTCCCTCTGCTGTCGTTGCCAGGCTGGGTTACACCTATCTGCGACTCAAGGACAACTATATGGAGATCCTCAACAAAGACGACGAGATCGAAAGGTCTGTTTAATAAGTTGTTTCACCACAAAAGATAAAACAGGATTAATCCAACTGATGGAGTCCTGTTCATATTATCCGACTGAAGAGAATTAGTTTGCAGCTTGTTGTACAAAATTTTTTTTAAAATAAATCTGCAACCTCAGAAGACCTGCTTCATCAGATCAAAATTATTAAACTGATGAGTGAAACTGTCTAGTTTGGTTCAATTCCAGAGTGTTTTTTTGTAAATTTTCTGTTTTGATTCATTACGTGTGTTTGTGTAAGCAACACGGCCGTACATCACTGTCAGCGGCGGCCTGTCGATAGTGAGCTATTTTTAATGGAGCTGGAAAGAAAGGGGGGGGGAGAAGGAAGAAGTTCAGCATTCGAATTCTGAAGTCTTCTTTGATTTTCTGTGTTTTCTTTTTGCTAAAATGCAACACGCTTTTGTCAAATTCACTATATGTGTGTGTATTTATTTTACTATTTTTTTAACTGAATTGGAAACATTTGCAGTTTCTAAAGGAAGTCATTATGTTCGTTTTGTGTTGCAGATGAATAAAAGGGGATTTAACAAAAGCCACCTCTGAAATCCTAATCACATGTAAAATAACTATTCTGGCTTTAACAATATGCTTTTTCAGTGGAACCCAGCAGTCAGAACCAGGAGTACAGTGTGTACTCAGAGGTGTTTACTTTGCAAAATTAGCCAAGCTGCTATTAAAAGGAACCGTGTGGAAGGAGAAACTTTTTATGAAATTTGCCCTCAATCTGAAAGAAAACAAATTAGAAAAGGAGATGAACACACTTCAACTCTATCCCTCCTTCAGGTTTGAACTGCTCCATGTGCTGAACTTCGACTCTGTCAGGAGGAGAATGAGCGTCATAGTAAAGTCCATCTCAGGTGAGACGTTGCCACACACACCAGAGCGTCGCTTGCACCTTTTATAGATCCAAAATTAGATGCTGGACAGTGCCTGCAGTGTGCTAACAGTGTTTGGCGCTGTTTCTGTGTGTGTCCTCAGGAGAGTACCTGATGTTCTGTAAAGGTGCAGACTCATCTATTTTTCCTCGCGTAGTGTCTGGAAAGGTGGAGCAAGTCAAAGCCCACGTGGAGCAGAACGCTGTAGTGAGTGAATGTTTTTTCATCTGCTGATTGAGTTTGAGGGTACATTGTGTCCATTTACACATTTAGCCATATGTTTCATGTCACACATTAAATCCTTAAATCTATATCTGAGGAAAAATTAACATTTAATGTGGTAATTAAAACTGGTAAATGTTATGCCTGCCGAGCTGACAAATTGGGCTGGATGGTAAATTGTTTCAGTAAGTTTTGCGATACATGATGATATTGTTGTTTTGAGACCATTTTCTGCAATGAAGGCAAATTATAAACTGACTAATAAACTGTTATTTTGCAAAAGAAATTCATAAAATTCAATAATATCCAAAGTAAAAGACAACTAAATACTATAAATAAATGTAAATCATCAAAATGGAAATGATCAAGCTCATTTGACTTTGTTAATGCGAATAATCGATTAATTGCTTATTCTGATAGGCTTAATGAGTTTCTAATTTAGCGAAAATCATCCCACAGTAACACTTAATAGAGCTGTGGAACGGCTACAATTTCATAATTTAAAATCATTTTAAAATTATTTTATGCGTTTCAAGTCAAAATCTAGATCAAAATTTGATTCAGAACTGTGGCCTGACTCGAGAATTTGTTCCTACAGTTATTCTCTTTCCACTCTGACTGAGCTTGAGCTTTTTTAAAAACAAGACATCTGCAAAGCTTCACTCAGTAAGCATGCAGTGCTTGCAGATACATAACCCCGAAGTCTGGCCGTTTTAATTAAAAACTTGCACATCCACAAGCAAGATTCATCTCTTAACTTTCTACCTCCATTTACCTTTTCCTATTGGTCTACTTCTCTGTGACCCAGATATCAGGCCCTGCAGACCATCTTGAAACACTTGCCAATTTCTAAGATCCACCTGCAGGAGAGTTTGGAGAGGAAGCTTTTTAGAGAGCTTATGTTGTTCCTTTCTTTAGTGGGGAAACAATTGCTATATATCGTTGTGGGCGGAAAGGGACAAAAGTGCCCTTTCGACGACCACACCATTCTTTGTTCACGATGGTGTGGTCGTTACAGAAGAAGTACTTATGTGCTTTAAAAATTCAGCTTTGTCTATCAATCATATCTTAAAATGTATAATATCAATAATCTATTCATTCCTCTCCATATCTCTCTCTCCACTGTGAAACCAGGAGGGGCTGCGGACTTTGTGTGTCGCCTACCGAAGGCTGTCAGAGTCGGAGTACCAGGAAGCGTGTCATTACCTGACTGAAGCCAAGCTGGCCCTGCAGGACAGGGAGCAGAGGCTGGCTCAGGCCTATGACGTCATTGAGAGGGATTTTGTCCTCCTGGGTGCTACAGCAGTGGAGGACAGGTTGGTCAATGCAGGAAGAGAGGAAGGGAACGATTTAGCAAGAGGATAGAAGGGGCGATTAATGAAGCTTTACAGTACATTTAGACAGTTGTCCTGACTCATGGCAGCAAAAAACAAAGGTTCATTATGAATTCTTGAATGGTGCCTTTTGTTTTGTTTTTCTCTGGATTGTGCAGTAATTGAATATTTTTGTGCACAACAAAATAAGACTTCAGCCTCGCCCCTGACTGATTGATCAAGTGCTTGACAGTTTAATTTCCTGACAGATAAACTGCTGATGTGAAACGACAGGGTTGAGGTGGTCTTGCATTGAAAACTTATCACCCGTTGGTAATGGATTAACTGAAGCTTTGATTGATGGCGCTGCCCACCCGTGTGCACCCTGAAACACTTATCGACTTATTGATGAACAGGCTGCAGGAGAAAGCTGCGGACACCATCGAGTCGCTGCACAAGGCCGGCATCAAAGTCTGGGTCCTCACAGGGGACAAGATGGAGACGGCCGCCGCCACATGTTATGCCAGCAAGCTTTTCCGTCGCAGCACCCAGATTCTGGAGCTGACCAAGAAGCGCACCAAAGAGCAGAGCCTGCACGACGTTCTGTTTGAGCTGAACAGGACTGTTCTTCGGCAGCGCTCCATATCTGGGTATGGAAGTCAGTTGTTCCCTGCTCCAAATCTGGTTAAGTTTATTGTGTTGACAGATCTCCTTGATAAACATTATTCAATTTCTGATTACAGGTTGTCAGTGGACTGCCTTGATTTTGGCCTGATTATCGATGGGGCAACACTTTCTGCAGTACTAAAACCCAGCCAAGAGGTGTCTGGCCATGGAAACTACAGAGAGATCTTTCTTGAAATCTGTCGCAACTGTAGCGCTGTTCTCTGCTGTCGCATGGCACCGCTGCAGAAAGCTCAGGTGGCATAGACTTTCTTTCTTCCTCTCTTTTTATTCAATTGTTCTCCATATATGTCTAAATAACTCGTTCACCTGGCTTAAAACATTTCTCTGACAGATTGTGAAGCTAATTAAATCCTCCAAGGAACATCCTATAACACTCGCTGTTGGAGATGGAGCCAACGATGTCAGCATGATCTTAGAAGCACATGTTGGCATTGGTGAGTGCAGTTACTACCTTAAATAATAATGCTCTCCATCACGAGATGTTTTTATAGGCAATCCTGGTGATATCTGAGAAAATATAGTTTGTTCGTACATCCTGCTGTCAACCCAACAGTCTATTGTCTATAGGTGGACCCATTTCTTCAGCCTGTCAGTTTTACTATTCATCCATCTATCCAATCATGGATCCATTTATCTGTTTACCTGTCCAAATACGTATCCATCTATCCATCCCAAATTGGAAATCTAACCATCTGCAATCACTTTATAGGGAGCTTTGACAAAAATTTGTCATTGAAAAACAAATAATTTTCACTTAATGTTTTCTCATTGCTCTATTAACAGACTATTAACACTACTAAGGACTGTTTGGAGTGCATTATTTTTATGGCTATTCTAGTCAGTGTGTTAGGAGTTCATCTATTCCATGCCAGTGCTATTTTCATCCTGCTGGATGATGTATCTGTAGTAGACACCCACACCTACTGTGCTCAAGATGCTTACAGAAAGGGGGCTAGAAGCATTATGATGGAGGGAGGAAATGTGGATTTATCACTAATTATATAAGTTGCACTATTTAACAATTGTACTATTATCACCAAATAATGTATGATCCCAGTAAGAACCCTGATTTTCTATTTCTGAGCTTACATTCCAGATTGTGAGTAAACTGTTTGTTTCCCCTAGGCATCATGGGTAAAGAAGGCCGACAGGCAGCCAGAAACAGTGATTATGCCATCCCAAAATTTAAACACCTGAAGAAGATGCTTCTGGTCCACGGCCACTACTACTATATCCGAATCGCTGAGCTTGTTCAGTACTTCTTTTACAAGGTAAGGGACGAATGCTTGTTTGAACTGAAAAAACTGAGCCAAAACACAGATGACTGGATTTAGGACTCCAGTATTGTGCAACACTCTCCTGGATTCACGGGCGCAACGATGTGTGTGGGTGGCTTCCACAGCATGCGGCGCTCTGCCAACTGACTCAACTTTTTCCCATATGGCATAATTGCTTTTTTAACAGCCCACTCAGTAAGGGGCATAATCTCACCATAAACAGGAATGTGTAGATAGCTGCATTTTTAGATTTTTTTATTTGTTTTTGGTGGTTTATCATTTGGGTTTTTTTGTCTCTTCTCCTCTTAAATCGTTGCAGAATGTGTGCTTCATCTTCCCTCAGTTCCTGTATCAGTTCTTCTGTGGGTTCTCACAGCAGGTATGTACTTTCTGCAGTACAGGAAAAAGCTTTTTCCCATTGGAAGGTTCTGTTGAACTTATTAGCATGTTCTGTTGAAGCTCATTAACAATTTATCAACAGCACTACAGTTCTAAAGACAATTTTTATTTGTTAATGAAATAAAAATCCTGGAAAATTTGAACTAATTTCCCAATTTACTTCCCCAGAAATCTGTGAAAAGTGATTGTCACCTTAAAAACTTCTTCCATTTATAAGAATAAAGTTGACTTCACACAGAAGCGTATTTTTTACGGCAGTAATAATGGATCCCGTCAATTATTAATTGATTTCAGTTTTATTTAGCAATAGGAATCAACAGTATTGTCACAAGATCCTAAAAACACACAGGAAGCTAATAAAAAGAAACCCAACTAATAGAAACAGCCTTTGGTGGAGCGCAGACTGCAACTTCTGTAAAGATGTGTTTTTGCTGTGTAGTCAGAGCCAGGATTGGAAGGATTGTGATATAACCATAAAAAGTAATAAGTAAGTTAAGTTTGGTTTGCTATTTCGTTGCTTCCTGTGGTAGAAGGGTTGACCTCTGGTTTAATCAAGTCCACTTGTAGCTTAAGTTGTCAAGCCTCAGAGGAAATGTCCTCTCGTCTTTGGAGGCAGCTGAAGCTGAGGGTCATCAAACCCAGGAAGCCATCCCTGCAGGTAGAGATGAAACTGGAGGACAGAAGGGAAAGGGGTCGTATACTTCCCCAGAGCTATTGTGTAAGAGAGCAAGGTGTGAAAACACATCTTGTCTTTGGAGTTGGAACGATTTGAAAAAGAAAAGATTACATAACAATCTTCTTTTTTTTCCTTCTTACATGAGTTTCAGGTTATAAATGCATAAAAGTCAGCTGGCATTGTTTAACAGGCACACTCTTTCAGTTCCTGTCTCTAAAGCATCTCTGTCCCTTTGCAGCCCCTGTACGACACGGCATATTTAACGCTGTACAACATCAGCTTCACCTCCCTCCCCATCCTCCTGTACAGCCTGGTCGAGCAGCACGTGACCATCGACACACTGAAGAGGGAACCCTCTCTGTATAGGTGATGACGTTTGATTTGTATGATGCTGCGTCTTGTATCCCATTTATCTATATTTCTGCCGTAACACGTTTTCCCTTTCCCTCTGTGCGGCTCAGGGACATCGCAAAGAACTCCCTCCTCCGTTGGCCCGTCTTCCTGTACTGGACGTGCCTGGGTGTGTTTGACGCGGTCATCTTCTTCTTTGGTGCCTACTTCCTGTTCGACAACACCACCTTCACCAGCAATGGCCAGGTGAGCTTCTGCATCTGTGTCGCCAAAGGCAGGGAGAAAAACACCAGACATGACACGAGTCATGGGGAGGATAACTGTGGAGTCTCCATGAACACTCACTCATCTCCACCAAACACTTTTAGGTGCAGCGACTTGACATTGTAGTCGTGTTTTGTCTCTATGACTCAGCACCAGTAAAGTTTCTTTCGCCGGAACATCGGATCTCCATTCATATCGACAACACAAGAGCATCTTTCTCTGTATTGTTGATTTGTATCATGTCAACTGTTTTTGATTGCCTTCGGTCCTGTTTTTTTTGTTTTTTGTTTTTTTAAGTTTAAACATCCTGAAATTCATTTTACCCTTTGTCCTGATTCTTTTCTCTTTTCTCCCCCTCCCTATTTCTCTGCTTTCTCGCTCTTTATTTTGCTCCCTCTCTCCTCCTCTTCTTCTTCATCTTCTTCTTCAGCTTATGACCACCAACACACAGATGGTAAGCCTGTCTCCCTCCTCTGTCAGCTCTCTCTGTCTTCCATGCCCCTTTTTAGTTCCTGTCGTCTTGTTTATGCTTTCAGTTCATCCTCACTCCACCTAATCCATGCAATTCCCATTTGGATGTGTAGATTCCTAGCTCTTACGTTCCCCCTCTAAATTTCTGCAACGCTCTGAATCCTGCATAGTACCTAATCTTAACCACTCTGCTGACATGGTAGAAATCCCAGAAGCTTCTCCACATTATCCCTGTCTTGTGCTGCGGTAGGGAACCTAATATTCGCTGCTGATTTAGATCCAAAATCTGTTTGTTTCCTTTTCTGTCTACCATGTTAGTTTTTGAGTGTACTTGTGTGTCTATGTACTTGTATTAATATTATGCTATCTGCCCATTAAAAATAAGTCGTAGGAATTGTAGACAGGCTTTTTTTGGTGCCAACAACCAGCTTTTGCAGTTATATAAGTCGTCCTCTTTTGCCTCGATTTCCCTATTTCTCCTCCCCTCGATCATAGTCCCATCCCATCTGTTAACTCCTGGTGTCTGCTTAAACCTTTCCAGGATTTCAGCAAGTAGCAACATGAGAATTTTGTGAAATAAATTGGAAATGTTTCTAATTTTTTTTCAACAAAAATCCTATCCTAATAATAATTAACATCTTTTTGAATGAACACTCTTTTCCACAGTTAATAAAACATGAGATTGTTCTATACTTTCTTCCTTATCCTCACTTGTGCTGTCTACAGTCATTGTCTTGGTAATTATTTTTATTGTTAGCCTGGACACTAATTGTTGACTCCATCTTTTTCTTACAGATGTTCGGAAACTGGACATTTGGGACTCTCGTCTTTACTGTCCTTGTTTTCACCGTAACGCTCAAGGTGTGTGAGTGAGCAAAATGAAATCAGAAAAACGTCCTGCTGGTTTTATAGCATAACACTCTCAGTTGTGTTAGATCATTCCTATTGCATGAGTCTTCTCAATACACAGAACAGAGTCTTCCTGTTAGAAGACCTCCAAAACATGAACTATAAAGGGAACAATAAAGGTTTAGGAAATAGCTGGAGGAATTCATATTTACAAAATCAATAATTAGCTGGAAAGAGTATAATTGAACAACCTCTGTAAATTGCTGTAAATGATCTAAAATTATTCATTAATATGATCACTTTAAAAGATTACAAGAAAAATATTTAAAATATTACATTTACTGAGGAGTTTATCCTGTACTGACTAATTCGGTGTTTCCACTGCTTCTTTTCTCTATGGTCCAGCTTGCCTTGGACACGCGTCACTGGACTTGGATAAACCACTTCGTAATCTGGGGTTCGCTGCTTTTCTACGTCATTTTCTCTCTTCTCTGGGGCGGCATCATTTGGTAAGGCCTCGGTTCAGCCACAATCCATGTGGTCTTTGCAGAGTGATTCTGCAAAGACCGGTCTGCTGAAATTTATTCTAGAATAAATTTCTGTATTTCCTGCTGCTGCTCAGGCCCTTCCTGAACTACCAGAGGATGTACTACGTGTTTATGCAGATGTTGTCCAGTGGTCCAGCGTGGCTCAGCATCATCCTCCTTATTACCGTCAGCCTGCTGCCGGATGTCATCAAGAAAGTCCTCTGTAGGGCTATTTGTCCAACAGCTACTGAGCGAGCACAGGTACAAAAAACATCTTAAAATAGATTTGAAATGTTACTTCTGCTGCTGTTACATAATGAGAATAATATGTTACTAAACCAATTTAACACATGGAATTTCTTTCCAACTTTAGTTGCTTATGTAGCAAATAGAAATCGTTTAAATCCTATTTTATACCAGTCAGTAATTTTACAACATCACAGTAGAAGCTGTAAATCTCCTCCTCTTTATTAATAATCCAGGAAGACTGTTAATGTGTTTCATAGCTTTGAGCACCAGCTGGATTTACTCTGACTTCCTCTTCCCAGTAGTTTAGCTTTACCCTCCTTTTGAAGCAAGATTTACCATGAAATGGAAGGGGAAAAAATGAGTGAAAGGTCTGACTGATTTCTTCCTGCTGTGCTCTTTTTCTTCTTCTTCCCCTTCTCACTTCACTTTATGGATCCCCGTCATCCGTATCGACACATTCCCTGTTGCTCCTTTCACTTCTCCTTCACCCTGCTCTGCATTTTCCTATCTCCTGCCATCCCTTCTTCTCACCTTTTCGTCATCCTTTCTTTTCCCTCTTCTCCTTGTGGTTGTGACACTGCACTGTCCCGCTCTTTCATGGTGACCACAGTCCACCCGCCCGTGCCTTACTGTGGAGCCGTCCACCATCTTCATGCTTTCTCAGTCCTCCAGCAGAATGAGTTTCTGATTGGCCCAGAGAGACGAGAGAGAGGAACAGGAAGAGGAGGTGACTTTCTTTTAAGCCCTCATTTGAGTGTGCATGCTGGCATGGTCCAGTGTCAAACTGCTTGTCTCTACGCCATGCTAATCGGCCATAGATGACGACACAACTTCTGAGGTGTAGCCTGTTTTCTGCCATTTCTCTTCTACGCGCTGTTCTTTTTTTGTCCCATCATATTATGTTTCATAAATCTGTGATGCATTGACTAAATAGCCAAAATTGGTAAGATATTATCAATTCATATTTTCATAACCTACATTTTTGGATTTGTGATCTGTTTTTTTTGTTGTATTCTTGTTTTTCATGTATTTTTAACATTCTTCTGATGAGGTTTTGAAATGTCTTGCAAGTACAGAACTTGATTATATCCTAACATTATTAATTTCTCAATTACTTAAAAGATTAAAATCCACATTTTAAAAGAGAAAAACAGTCAAGCCAACAGATTGCTTTGTTTTTTCGATTGGCAGTGCAGAAACTGCCAGTAACCCAAGCTCATTCAAAAATCAAATAAAACCGTTTACTGGCTTTTTGACCGCTTAATCATTGCAGGTCAGGATTTTAAACTGGACCTATGGATCATCGATGCCCACCAAAATAAGTGAATCAACCATGTACTGTTTAAAAACGTTAATGTTTAGATATATTAATCTAGAAGAAACAAACTGCAAAACAGTTTGTGCTGTAATTGCAGCAAAAGGTGATTCTACAAAGTATTGAAATGGGGTTGAGGGTCACTTTTGAAAACCATTCATTATTTCTTACTGGTCTTTTATGATTATGTGTTCATCACATGAGGTCCCATCAACAAATCGTGACAGGATTTAGGAAAGTTCACAAGTTACGAACATTGTTTCGAGGCACCATAAGACTCCTGAACTCTGTTGATTCCTCTTATGTGATTATTTTTAATGAAATTGCAGACTGCTTCTAAGTCAAAGAGGAGAGGGACTGTCCAAACGTTTGTCAGTGTAGATTTCCAAAAGCAAAGTAAAGAACATGGCAGTTGTTGCCAGCATCAAATTGTATCTAGGTTTTAGCAACTGATTTATTAATTTGTTCATTGAGTCACACTATTTCAATTACCAATTATTTAAATGGAAATCTGACTTTTAAAAATATCTACTAAGACTGTGTGAAAATGTAAGAAGGATTCTCTACATTTTGTGTTTTTTATAGATTTAAATTGACTTTCAAGCTGGTAATCTACTTCTTTGTTCTGAACACTCCTTGGTGATCATTCTTGTCTCTAATATATGGCTGTCAAATCTGATGATAGTTAAATAATGCATGGGAAGCTTCTGCAAGTTAGGAACAGAAAATGACTCACAATTCAGGATTCTCATATACTTTTGTGGAAATGTTCTCGCTCTAAAATGGTTGAATAAGCAAGAAGTTGAGTCAGAATATATTTTGGATCTGACTGAGATAAAAGCCTAACATTCCTAGATTTAGTACACAAGATTGGTGCAGATCTAGTGAACTAAATCTAGATTGCAATATCATCACTCATTTCATGTTATCAGCAGAAAGTAAGGATAGCAGAGGGGCAGGAAATTTGTGTGACTCCTGGCCCATCTGGTAGGGGAGGGAGAAGGAGCTGTTTCATGACGTTTGACAGAGAGAGAGTGTGGACATAAAGATGCTAGGAGATATGACTGTATGAAATCTCAAAGCTTGTGGGCTAAGATCACCATGGTAAAAGCACAAAGCATGTAATAGTAGTTGGCTGTTGCTTCTGTTTTAATGGAGGCGGTGTGTTAGGTCAATTTGTATGTGTTCCTCAAGAAATTTCCTTTTCTCAAACTCACTATCCAGGAATGATAACCCCACAATTAAGTCTGCTGTGCCAGTTCCACAGCTAATCAGACTCCTACTGCTAGCGTGCTGAAAATGAGCCGGATCTGGGTTGCAGCCAAATGAGGAATTCCACCTTTCCTCCATTTTTATTGAGCCCACGCCACTTAACCCCCCGGCGTTCCTTCATTTTGTGTTCCTTCTGTGACCCTTGCTTTTAAAAAATTTTCTGCAAATTCATTTGTAAATAAAATCCTTCATCTAAATTCTTTTGACACAAAACAACCTCTTGTAAAAATTGCTGTAAAAATATTATCCATCAATTTTCTAAACACTTATTCTTGCAGGGTCGTAGAGGAGAGACTGGTGCCCGTCAGTAGCGGTCGCTGAGCGAGAGCGAGGCGTACGCCTGTCAAAAAATATTAATTTCTTTCAATTAAGCAATTGTAAATGTCAGTTCTAGCAATACATAAGATATTTACATGTTTGTAAAAATATTTTTAACACCTTATATTATAGTTGTAGTGATTAATGTCTTTTCGCCTTTTTTCTTTTCTAGAAACAACACTAAAATAAAAACAGATTTCCATTCTGCATATTCAAATTGGAATCTGAACGGATATTATCAGAGCCTGAGAGGGTTAAAAATTTGCATGAATCTTGATTATGATCAGTTTTTATTGCTGTGCAAAGTCATAGAAACAAATTTCAAGTTCTTATGTGTAAAGTTTAAGATTTACTGTGCGTGGGCAAACATCTCCACCTTAAACACTTAAAATTTTGATCAACACAGGAGAATAAAATAATTAAAACAGAAACAGAATTGCAATAGTATTACTGTATTCAAAAATGATGAAAGACAAAATTAGATGAGTTGAACTATGAACTATTTGTATGGCCATGAATTAGTGATTATCATAAGAATCACTGTTACCATTAATGTCTTTCTCTGTTTTCATATTTATATTTTTTTTATATACAAATGTTTTTTTAATCTCCTGACATCTAGTGTTACAGACCAGTACTGCAAGTGTAAATTTATTATTTTTCATATTGGGAATATTCTGAGGTCATTACTTCTCGGTAGAAATGTTCATTCAGACATTACTGGATTTTGTCATTCAGTCTGTTCATGTTAATTTTCCCCAAAGATCACCAGATGATGGATAAATTACAGAAGAAAAAAAATACACAGGATCTCAAATTAAAACTCTTATGCCTGTCATTTGGGCTCATTTTCAGTTCGTGTGTCCACATGTACAAGTTTGGTTGGCTGTTCTGCATGTTTTTATTCTTCTCAGGTTCAGTCTTGGTTTGTCTCCTGACAACACTTCCCTTGTCTCTGTAGGTCAGCGAGAAGCTGCTGCCTGGCAGCATGGCTGAGGTGACTCCTCTGTCCTTTCGTCGATCCTACAAAGGCAGGAGCACAGACTCCCCCCTCCTCCACCTCGGTGCTGCAGAAACGCTGTCCCTCCGCAGCTCCAGTCCTCTTCCCCAGAAACTCCTGGCTCACCTGGCAGAGGGAGGAGGGTCCGACCTGACCTCTCTTAGCCCCTACATGCTTCGTCTGTCAGGGGCGGGGTTTGCTTACTACGCTCCAGGACCGGAGACCCCTGTGTGAAAAAACCGCCAGCTCCATCTGAAGATGCGTCGTTAAGCTCTCCATTGCAAGAATATAAAGAATTTATTGAACACCCCTCAAAATCATGGACGCTCCATGTTCATTATGTGCATTTTCTGGGGTCCACCTGAGTGGACCACCATTGTCATTGCAGTGCCCTGACTCTTTCTGTCAAAGTTCCCTGGCAAACTCCCAGTCAGAACAGTCGGAGAACTCAAAGGGAGCCTTGTTTGTTTTTTGCTATTTTTTTGTGAACTCATCCCCATTTTTACTCTCGTCATTGCTCTTCCTTCACTTTTATGTCATTTTCTATTTTATTTTGTAAATCTTTGTTTAAAAAAATTGTTGTTCATGGACACTCTGTGGTCTGGCCAAGTAAGGCGGAAGCAGTCTTGCTCAGCCCTTTAGGTATGCGTGCGTATGCATGTGCTCTATAAGTACGCATGTAATTGCCTGTTTTTTTGTATGTTTGTACGTGACACACACCTTTACACCTTTGCCTTACAGGTACGCAGCAGAAGTGGGAGCTAAAGGAGCAAGGCGTGAAAAGGAATTGTTGTTTTACAAAGCCTTACACAGACTCACACATGTTCATTAGATTTGCAGTGCCTTACAAAACTATTCAAACCTCTTAGACTTTTTCACGTTCTGTCTTGTTGCAGCCACAAACTTTAAGTTTGGAGGGCTTCGTGTGACAAAGCAACACAAAGTAGGAAATAAACTAAGGAGAGAGCATTAATCAGGAAAAGCATCAAAGAGGTTCCTCTGCAGCTCCTCCAAAGGAGGAGCTGCAGAGGTCCACAGCTTAGGAGTGAGATTCTGTTAAATGGAAAACTGAAGAGGTTTGTAGCTGTTATTACATAAAAGGTGAACAGCGAACAAATATCCACTCCATACTTTTATTATGTTTATTTATTAAAAACCATGTATAAGTTCCCTTCCTCTTATTCGCCACTTTGTGTTGGTCTGCCACACGAGATTCCAATAAGACGTTGCAGTCTGCAGTTGCATTCTGACGGAGTATTATGACAAAGTTTAAGGGTTATGAATGTTTTTGAAAGGCACTGTAAAGGAGAGCTGGAGCGACCTTAGAGGAAAGTGCAGTATTTTAGCCACCCTGCCTTAATTCATGGACACCATTTTCAGTCGGTCAAATAAAACACACTTATGAAAGTACAAGGATATTCACAGGGATTACATGTCTGTTACAGCGTCTGTTATCCCCCTGTCTTCTTTCTACCCTCCTAATTGTGTCAACCTTTGTCTCATTTATCTGTCAGCGTAGCATGTTGAATTGTCTCTGCATGCTGTGCTACTCTTCTGTGTTATCACGGCTTGTTGCAGACATGGTCATCACAAAACATATCAAGTTATTTTTGTTTCCTTCCTGATCAGCGAGCATGCCCTCTGCTGCCACCGTGTGGCCGCTTGAGGTACTAGTCTGGAAAAGATGGGGTACTGATTTATGAATGTTGCTATCCCTCGCTGTTGCAATGTGCTTGTGTATTTGCTGCCACGATATGTGTCATGAAAATGCTAATGTCAGAATGCTAATATTAGGTAGGTGTGTTACTAGGGGTTGTCTCTGTGTTGCATCAACTCCTACGTTTTTGTTTTTCTTTTCTGTAATGCTCTCTAAAACTATTGATGTCAGTGTTATATGTATGGATGTAAATGACAAAGATTTTGCTATATATATATATATATATATATATATATATATATATATATATATATAGTCTAAAGAAGGTAGATACAGTTTGTCGGGAAAAGGTGGGAGACTTGAAAAGGCGACGTCACAATCAAAATCAATAAGAATGTCGAACTGATTTGTCCATCATGTCCTGTATCTGAAGATTGTAGCTCATAATGGATGAACCACTTTTCCACATTTCTGAAAGCATTTCCGAAGACCTCTTCGTCCAAAGCCTATCTAGTCTGCTAACATAGAAATGTATTGACTCTGGAAGTCTTGATTGTGACATTCTGAAGCATTTTTTATATGTTTATACAGTTTATTTTCATACACATCACCATCTGCCAACTTGTATAGATTTGATAACAGGTGTTCAGTATTTTTCTACTGGGGCACAGATGATTTATTGCATTAATGGAAAGTTTAGGTTCACCCTCTCAGTTTTCAGCTGTTTTCAAGAGCCACCCTGGATCAAACCTTCACGTTTTTTGTGGTGGTCACTGTGTTGTTGCCATACTTCTACATACTGTGCACCAGCCCCAATACAGCAATGCTGTAAAGGTTATTTATTTTTTAATATTTGAGTCTTCTGATTTTCATCTTGTCATTCTTGTGTTGTCCAGTGTTCATATTTTCTTCGCTAGTTTTGTATCTCAGAGAGAAGACTATATTTTAACTGTTAGCGTGCGTGTTGACGTTTGTAACCAAAGTGAGAGTTAAATTTAAATTATACGGTTTTGTTAGAGTTACCTATAGTCCGACACACTGCACTTTGTTTTACAATGGATCAGTTTTACTCTAAAGAAAACAGCAAGGTCTATTGCCTGTCAACTGGAGTTTGTAGTTCACACTTCCTCACGTTATTTTTCTAAGATTGTACGGGGTGAGAATTAAAGAAAAAAAAAAAGAAGTGACCAAATGACCTGACTAGGAATGAACTGTCTGTAGGTGCCAGCCTCTGTCTCAGCGGGTTTATCACACCAGCCTTCTATTGCAGATCAGAATGTCAAACTGCTTTTTCTAAGTCCATCAGCACAACAGCGGGTGCTCATCCAGTCACTCCTGAGCTTGGCAAAAGTCTGAAACATCAACTGCTCTGCTCCGAGGAGCACACTTCATATCATTGTACCTTTAGTATGCCACTGTTTGTATTACTAAACAGGTTTTTGACAAATTACTTGTTTTTTGTTTTGTTTTTGGATAAAGATTTTAAGAGTTCACGTGTTGACTTTTTGCCAGCCTGTCTGTAGCAAATGAGGACAAAGCACTGTATTGTCATTCTGCTTGTAATAAAGAAGAGAAACGAATGGCCGCCTTGCAGATTTTTTGATTCTTTCTGTTCTTACGATGATGTGTAATTCCATCTCTGTCCAGCAGGAGTTCTACTTAACTGACATGACGCCGATTCCGCCTTCATGCGGAAGTAGAGCAAACCTACAAACAAACAGTCTGATAATGGCGGAAGTAGTGAAACTCAGTGCCTTGTATGTGCATTTAAATAGTATGAATCTTATAATCAAGAACCACACTCCATACCAGTAGGTGGTGCTAATGCTACTAAAAGTTTTTTTTTTGTGTTGTTGCCAACTTTTAGTAGAAATAAAAAGCAAGAAGAAGAACAACTCAAAGCATTGCCCAAGACATTTTTTAAGACATGTTTGTTTTATCAGCAAACACTGAGGAAAAGACGACAGGCAAAAAAAACTCTCTAAAGAGTCATACATCAGGTCTGTAAGGTTATTTGTGGGAAACCAGGGAGAAATCAGCCTTAGCTTCAGTTCCTCCTGATAAGGGGCTGGACTTCCGGACAAATGGCGGCCAGCGATTGTCAATTACAACTCAATCGTTTTTATTGCTTATCTGTTTTTAATTTCTGAAAATTTCTTAAATGGTAAAAGAGACATCGTGTATTTTTTTAAATCATTGTCAAAATGTGTCCATTATTGACAATAGAACAAATAACTGAATTTAGTTTAGCCACAAAAATGTTAGCTTGAACATTAGGTAGCTAAAATGCTAGGAAATGCTAATATGAAGGAGACTACTGGGGTCAGATGAACAAATATCCTTCTTGACACCGATTATGTATTTACTTTGAGATAGACCACTTTGTAGTGGTTTGTTTGTTTGTTTGTTTGTTTTAACCGATGGCCTAACATTTCGCTCAAGCATCCTCTGATACATGGAAGAGGTCATGATGGATTGATGGCAAACTGGTGAAGCTAAGGATTCCCAAATTACTTACTGCTCTATGCTGTAGGGGTCATGGGGTAAGATTATTATTGGGTTTTCTGATTGTAAAGGCTCTGTAGTAAGAGAGTACTGTATATTTTTTGACAACATTTATTTTCTCTTGCAAATTTCTCTTGCTGTCAAAAGAAAAACATAACCTAATTGTTAGAAAGAAAGTGAGGGATGATGCATCATATCTGAAATATTAACTCATCCACCATTGTTCTACAGCCCAGAAGCTTGGTATGACGTGCTTGCAGCCATCCCAGAGCTCGGTGTTCATGGCTATGTGTGAAACTCGTTGCTGATTTAAGCTGCAAATACTAAAGAGGCGTAACTACAAGCCAGTAAAAGACAGTGATGTTCCCATGTACTTATAAAGTGCTATGCAGGCATTGTGTAAGTCACTGAGGTTGCTTTTCTTAAGAGATACTCATGAAAGTAAACATCAGCTAACATTATTAGCAGCTCTATAACCCCAGTTTTATTCAGTGGGGATACCATTGGTCATCACCTGATGGCAATGCAGCATATCTGAAGCTGCATGGCCTGTGATATTTCTGTTCAGATCATGACGCACATGATGTCGCTGTTGCATTAGCTGTTTGTGTGAACCTGCAGTGCTGGCCATCACTTCCCCTCCCCCCGATCTGTCTGTCTGGGTCCTCACAGGTTTGCACCATCATGTGTGCTGGGGCTGAAACATGCATGTGTGAATGAGGCTGTCTCCTGCTACAAGTCCTCCCCGTCTTCACCGCAGCCCCCCTCTGCTTCGCATCCCTCCGCGGACAACTCGCCGTCATTCCTGGGGCTGTCACAGCAGCTTCAGCATCCATCCACCCTCCGTTTAAGCAGCATCTTCTCCATCCGCGAAAGCATTCATTTTTCACACTCAGCATCCATCTGACCTCTCCTTCCCTCTGTCTCTGAAATTGCGAACCAGAATCGAAAGCAGCCAGGCTTCCACATCCTCAGTGACTCTACCACGCGCATCCCCCTCTCTTCCCTTCTGCTTGCCTGGGCTCATCATCGTAGAGTCTCGACTTCCCATCATCTTCACCATCATCCACTCTCTAAAGCTGCCAAGCTGTCTCTTCTTCCCAGGAAAGTGTATTTTGGCTGGACAGCTGGGTTGCCACTGTCCCTCTGGAAAATGCTTCTGTGGATGAAGACAGAGGAAATGGCTCTTGGGGAGCTGCTGGAGAGACTAAGGAGCGTCACCCATACCATAGGTGGGTAACGACGACAGTCAGCACGAGCTTCAGAGCCTGTATGATGCCATTTTTACTGCTTAGCATTGCGCCTATTTTTGTATTTCTGGAATTGCATGTAATTATGTGCATGTGGGTAGTGAAATTTGCTTCTTTTAATGTTGCTCTCTCAAAATAGAGAGATGTTTTACCAGCTCCTTTTTCTTCTTTGCTAGCAGTTTATTCCTTTGGAAAATGAGCTCTTCGTCCTCATTTTGAGTGTGACAAAGTTATTAGACAAAAGTGTCAACTGTTCATGTTGAACATTTCATTTTTACATCATTTCATTATTATATCTGACTTTCTGTCAAACACTGCAGAGAGTGATGAGGGAACCATGCCCATCCTCTCTGACCTCTAACTCTGGAAATCAAGTGCTATTCAATTCAAAAATAGTTTATCAATCCGAGATTCATTTATTTATTCACTCTTCCAGTGGGTCATCCCTTTATCCACCTTTTTATCATCCTTTTGTCCAGCCATTTGTTTTGCAGGTCCCATATTCAAAGCCAGATCACTGTAAAGTAATCCACCAACATTAAGCTTTTGCTTTCTTTATTGCAAGCTTCTTCACAACCATTTAAGATTCTTTGGGAACTTAAACCCTTTCCACATGTACAGTATCACTGCATATGTTTATTATGTTCCTTTTTCCAAAAAGACAGCCAGGAATATGTTTTTATAACTCTGCCTGCCATCTCCTCTGATCCATTTATAGAAATCTGCCTTAATTTACCCAGAATAAGCATAGCATCCCTGTCACTTGTACAAACACTCTTACATTTTCAGCCAGATACATGAATTGTGAAATGCTATTTTGAAATCTGGGACTTTAAAGTCTAACATGAAACCTCTTGCAAACCTTCAAGGGTTTGTAAGATTTGAGTCCATCCATTCCTTTCCACCACCAAAGATGGTGAAATCATGGCAGTGAGTGGGTGGACTTGAGGAAGGAGGGGAAAAAAATGGTAATATACGTCCAAGCAACAGTGATGAAAATACAGAAATATCTGCCTTTACAGCATTTTTTGCGTTGCAAGCTGGATAATATTGACATATCTCATTTTGTTTACACTGATAGGCATTGAATTAGGGGCATCAAATCTATCAGCTCTCTATACCAGCTCCCTGAAGAAAATGTGACATGGATGTGGTGTGGCAGGAGGATGAGAGCAATAATCAGCTTAGAGAGGAGAGCCTGACACTGACTGCAGAAGACAAAGAGGAAGGGAGAGTGATGAAGAGAGATTCACAAGAAGGAGAAAAAAAAACTGATACTGGAACGATTTTGTTTTTCTCAAACATGTAATGCGGAGATGCATTTTGTTTGGAGAAAACAGAGACAGACAAATTTAATCTGTCTATTTCCCAGAGAAACTGTATCCACCGTGTAGTTATCTGTTTCTGCTTGTGGTTTCCGGCAGTTGTTCGTTTTGTTAGATGAGAATATATTCGATATTTGCAAACTCAGACAAATGGGGTGATCATATTGCCTCCCAACCTGCAACTGACTT